GTTGAAAGCGGGATTTCCAAATTCTGCAAAATTTGGCGATGATTTATTCCACCATCTGCTTGACCAACTATCCTCCCTCTAACAAAATCTGACGATTCGAGAGAACCTTGAGTTCTAGGCATGTTGTAGCACAAGATAATTAGTGTGTGGACCATTTTCACAAATTAGTTAGCATAAATCAGTTAAATGACGAAAAATTAGGTTTCTATTTACTTGTGACCACTCAGTGTATATTTGCCATTATCTTAAACTGACACAGATGTACCATATAATGTAACTCTTGTTGTTTTTTTCCCTTACCACCAAAGAACATAATGTTCTGAATCAGATAAAAGTCAATATTATATCTCGTTGTTCAGGAAGAGATAAAAATTTATTTCTCATGCAACCATGGTCATGTTGTACAGAGACTGGAAAAAAGGATGTCAATGCTGCTCTATGTTTGTATCTTTATATAAGATATATTTGAAGTGAATAAGAGTAATATTAAGTTTAAATGTTGTTAATTTCTCTTATTACATCCAGTTAATGATAGCTGACAAAATCTCACTTATAATAGAACCTGAACCACCTGTTTTTAGTTCAGTTCTTCCCAAAGCTATCGCTGACTTGTAAAGTTTTTGTTTTGTTTAGCACAGTGTTGCTCAACTTTTTCCGACTGAGAACCAGCTGGTTCCAACCCCTAAATTTCACTGACTGCTTTGTACAATATTAAATTTTAAAAGTACTTTTAAATCACATCTGTAAAACAATATACTTCAGTAGCTGTATTTAAAAACAACAACATATTTTTCAACCATCTTGCAGACCAGCTGAAATCTCTTTGTGGACGGATAGTTAGGAACCACTTGTTTAGTACACTTTTACAAGTCATTGGTGACTTCAATTTTATTGCATAACTTTACTTGTACAATTACAATTGAAATCATGATCAAAATGTATATAAATGTTTAACCAGAGAGATCCAAACACCAGTTAAAACTTATTGGTTGATTAACTCAATAAAATTTGTTCATATTATTCTATGCTATTATTTAGTGAGGGAGAGAAATATGATAGCTTTCTAAGTGTTGAAAACTACTGGTGTGTATTTATCTTGATTCCTATAGAACTTTAATTGCATTTCATGACTGAATGTAGAAAACTGTACAGGAATCATGCAGGAATTACATGTTATTTTGCTGAATACGTGGATTTTCTAACAGGCAAAGTAAAATAATAAATATATATTTATATATTGTTGCATCAGCGAGGTCACATGACTAGTGTCATGTCAC